TGATTCCCAAATGAATGTACCTTCAGCCTAGGCCTTTTGCCTGAACTCCGGCTCTTACATCCAAATGCCTGTTCAAAGTCTCCTTCGGGTGTGTGATAGCGTCTCACATGTCGTATGTCCTCACTGACTCCCGCCCTCCCCAGGCCAAATCTGTGCGGCCCTCAGGGTTGCTATCTCAGCTGGTGGAAGTGCCACAGTTCCCTCTGCTCAGGCCAAAAGCCTCAGAGTCATTTTGAGTCCTCTCTGTTTCTCTCCTACCCATATCCAACCTATCAGCAACCCCAAACTTCCTTCCAAAGAATGGGATCACTTCTCCCCACATGCACCCCACCACCTTGGTCCAGGCCCCCATCACCACCAGCAAAAGGGACTGCTACAGTAGCCTCCTCACTGGCTTCCCAGCCTCCACCTTTGCCCCACAGTCTTTTAACAACATAATATCCAAAGCTGTCCTTATAACACATAAATCCAATTATGTCACACCTCCACTCAGAACTCTCTCTGGTTCCCCATTTCATCTGGTCCTATGTGACCCAGTCTCCTGTGACAGTTCTGACCACTGGCCTCTAGTAGTTTCTTAAACATGTCAGACAGATTGCCACCTCAGGACCTTTGCACTTGCTGTTTCCTCTGCCTAGAATACTCTCCCCGCCATGGTAGGCAGAACTCTAAAATGGTCCTTGTGATTCCTGCCCCCGGTATCCTCACCTTTGTGTAATCTGTGGCTTGTGGCTATCACCTGTCACTTTCTTCTAACCGATAAGAGAACATGGCAAAAGTACCACTCCCATGACTATTGTACATTCGGTGATAACCGTGAAGGGATTTTGCAGGTGTAAGTATGGCCCCAATTACCTACATTAATCCGTTTGACAGAGTTACAAAGCTGACAATCCTGGTGAGCTGGGGGCCAGCTCAAGCGAGTCCCTTGAAAGAGGTTTCCCTGCGCTCAGAACCTCGGAGCACCAAGGACCCGGTGGCCAGCCCTGAAGGAGGAGCAAGCCCCCAGCACTTCCACAGCCACGAGGAAATGAATTCTGCCAACAGCCTCCCGGGCTCCAGACAGGAACACAGCCTGGCTGCCATCCTGACTGCAGCCCTGTGAGATCCTGGGCAGAAAAGCCAGCTGAGCCTTGCCCAGACCCACAGAACCGGTGGGAGAGTAAGTGGGTGTCATTTTAATCCGCTGAAATTGTGGTGATTTGTTACGCAGCAACAGAAAATGAGTCAGCTCCCAGATGTCCACATGGCTTCTTCCATCACCTCCCTCAAGGGTCAGGTGTCACTTTCACAAGGAGGCCTACACTGATCACCCTGCGGGAAATCGTGACATGCCTCATCCTTTCCTGCATAGTACTCAATGCCTCCTAACTTGCTGAAATATGTTTCTTGTTTAATCCCCACCCCACCTGCCAGTATAAGCCCCAGTTCACCGGTGTGTCCAGGCTCCTGGGCTGGGGCGCCAGCACATCTCCAGGCGAGCAGCGAGCAGCCTGGAGCAGATGAAGGAATGCAAACCCTGTGGGGCCATTATGCTAAAGTAATTTATGTGCATGTGTTAACTTGATGAGGTCAGTGTGCTCACAAAGTGGTGAGAGGCCTTTCTGGGGCTATCTCTAGGGTCAAATGCTTGGCCCTGCAGTCCAGGAATGCCAATGAGCTGATTTGGTTAAGAAATAAGACCGGCTGCTGACTAATACTCCGGGGGGGGCCTGACCTGCTCCTTCGTGCTGGAGGCTCACACCAGTGGCTGGGGGTCAAACAGGCTCTGTGACCTGGTGGCCTCAGCACCCTCCTCTGGGAGAGTCAACAAGAGGTCACGACTGGCTGGGGCCCTCCCTGTCTCCTCTCCGCAGGGTTGACATCAAGGGACTGGTGCTGTTGTGTTTGTTCTTTCTGACACTGGCCTCATTTCACCCCTGTCTTTGCAAGTTGGGTTCCCCAGGGAGCAGGCTGAGCTGAAGTTTAATGGGCAGGATGTTTATTACCAAGGGCCTTAGGACCCACACCTGTGGAAGGGCGGGGGTGGAAATAGGATTGGGCAGAGGGAGAATTTCAATGCTGGCCATAGGTAACTCCACAGGGAGGTCCGACGCTGAAATGGTCCTTCAAGCTGCCCAGCATTGGGCCACCTGGGAAAGGTGTGCCCATGAGCCAGGTGGTTCTCTGCCACTGAGGCAGACCCTGGACCAAAGGCTACTCTGCTGACCATGCTACTACCAGCTGGGTAACAAGCCCCTTCTTGAAAGAGGATCTGTGCTGCCCATCACCCTGTTCATGACACGTACACCCTTCCACTGAAGCAGTCTGTCTTTCTTTCATGTTCAATTATTTTCATTTTGAAATATGTTTAAGTTGAAAAAAAAAAAGCACTTTTTTATTCTCACCAGAGGACATTTTTGCATTTATCTTCAGATAGAGAGAAGGGAGAGAGGAGAGAAGAGAGAGAGAGAGACACATCTCTCTCACATCGAGTGGTTGCCACCCACATGAGACAAACTGCAACCAAGGTACCTGCCCTTAGCGGGAATCAAACCTGGGACTCTCTGGTTCGCTGGCTGATGCTCTAACTGCTGAGCCAAACTAGCCAGGGCTCAAAAAAAAAAAAAAAAAAAAAAAAAAAAAAAGCACTGTTTTTATTTTATTTTTTTAATTAATTAATTTATTTTTGTTACAGATGTTTCTCCTTCTCCCCTCACTGACTCCCCCCTTCCTCTCCCTCCCCGCCCTGTCCCCAGCTTTGTTGTTCATGTCCATTGGTTTTTTTTTTTTTTTAATCCTCACCCGAGGACATTTTTCCATTTTTTGTACAGATAGAGTGAGAGGGAGAGAGAGAGAGAGAGAAACATCGATGTGAAAGGGACACATCGAGTGGCTGCCACCCGCACGACCAACCAGGGCCGGGGACGAACTGCAACCGAGGTACATGCCCTTAGCGGGAACCGAACCCGGGTCTCTCCGGACCGCAGGCCAATTCTCTAACCGCTGAGCCAAACTGGCCAGGGCCATGTCCATTGGTTATGCATACATGCGTATAAGTTCTGTAGTTTATCTCTCCCCCACCACCCCCTCTTCTGGGGATTGTCAGTCTGTACCCCACTTCCACGTCTCTGGGACTACCCCATTCCTCAAACTGTTATGTTCATTATATTCCACAAATAAGTGAGATCATATGATACTTGTCTTTCTCTGCTTGGCTTGTTTCGCTTAGGATAATACTTTCCAGGTCCCTCCATGTCGTCTCAAAGGATAAGAGATCTTTCTTTCTTACAGCTGCATAGTACTCCATTGTGTATATGTACCACAGCTTTGCTATCCATTTGTCTACTGATGGACATTTGGGCTGTTTCCAGATCTTAGCTGCCTCAAGCCAGCATGCCCTTAGGTGGTCAGGAACTCATACTCCTTGGCCGGCCGGGGGCCCGTAGCTCCCCACCATGTAGTCAGTGTTGTCAATCTTGATGCCTTTCTGTTATGTGTGTTGGATGTACTTCATGCCAGACACAATCTCTCGGTTCACCTGAAAAGAGATCTTTATCTGATATTCCACACCCTTCTTCAGCACAAAGGACTGCTCTTGAAGCTCTCCAAGTCACCTGTCAGGTCCAGCTCCAGGGGGCCGGGGCAGTGCTGCACACCAGGGTCAGGCAGGTCACAATGACGTTGGGTACGTGGGGTCTGCAGACACGGCCACACGGCCCAGCAGGGCCTCCTTGTACTTGCACAGACTCTCGTGTTCCTTGTCCAGCTCCTGGATGCTCTTCTGGGCTGGGGGCTTGTAGCTGAGGGAACGCTCATCTTCCTCATTCTCAGCTGCAATCTGCACCAGCTGCTCTGCGGTGGGCTCCTGCTCGGCCATGGTCCCCTCTAGCTGGGTCCGGGACACCGGAGGCCCCCGCGCCGCGCTTGCGCTCCCTCCTGCACGATATCAAAAGCACTGTCTGTAAATGCATAACACAAAGACATGGGATTACATTCAGGTATCAAAATGTTAAACCAAATCTGTGATAGTCACCAATGTGCTTCTTTTTTTTTCCCATTTTTTGTTGTTATTGTTGTTGTTCAGACGGAGAGGGAGAGAGAAATATCGATGTGAAAGGGACACATCAAGTGGTTGCCACCGGCAGGACCCAACCAGGGCCAGGGACAAACTGCAACCGAGGTACATGCCCTTAGCAGGAACCGAACCTAGGTCTCTCTGGACTGCAGGCCAACCCTCTACCGCTGCGCCAAACTGGCCAGGGCCCAATGTGCTTCTTATTTAAAGCATTAGACAGCAAGTTCTAGTGGCAAGTCCAGGAACTGCCCTAATCACCAAGCGGTGGCTGAGCACTGTTTAGACACTTCTGCAGTAGTGTAATGTGACAGGAAGGCATCTGTCATTTCCAGTTGTGACAAAGCCCCAGGCATTGCAGATGCCCCTGTGGGTTGTTCCTCCCTCACATTGGAAGGAAAGGCTGACTTTCAGTTAGAAGTTCGAGAAAAATAAAGGTCTTTTCCTATCTATGCAAGTTCCAGGTGCTGAAAAGTGGAAACTGGTGTGGAAGTGGGGCTGGGGAGTGGGTTCCAAAAAGTTTGGGTTCCGGAAGAGACCTTCCTATTAGAAGGGACAAGGATGCACTTGTGGCGAAGGAAGAGGGCCGTGGGCGTGTCCGTTCCAGCTTCTTGCCTGGAGGCGTCCAAGTGCTCACCTGTAGCTCTCCCCACCCCCAGCTGCATAGTCCCTGGGTGGGCCGCACCTCCTACCCCATACTCTGTCACCCAAAGGGCCCAGGCACCCTCAGGCTTCCTTCCCCCGCCAGCTTTAGCCAGCGCAGTGATTTGCACCAGACCGGCCCCTGCAAACAAGAGGGCACAGGGCCTGACCCGCAGCGACCGGCCAGCCGTGACCAGACAACCGCCTGCCCTCTTAGAAGATGCTCGGCTGCGCCGCCCCAGGCATAAAAGGAGCGGATCCGAGAGCCAGCCACAGCCGTCGACGTCGGACCCTGAGTCGCACCATGGCGGTCCCCAGCCTCGCCTGCTGCCTGCTCGGCCTCCTGGCGCTGACCTCCGCCTGCTACATCACCAACTGCCCCGTGGGCGGCAAGAGGTCGGTGCGGGACTTGGACGTGCGCAAGGTGAGCACCCACACCCTGGTCCCGCCCGCTGGGGCTGGAGGGACCCGAGCCACCCGGTCGCCCCTGCCTCGCTGACCCGCCCGCGCCCCGCAGCCGCCCGTCCGGGACCCAGGGGAGGTTGGCAGGTGTTGCTTCCCCTCCTGTGACCGCGTTTGGGGCCAAAGCAGCGCCAGGGCGACCCCGAACCTCCGGCCTCCCCTGCCCGCCCTCCCGACCCAGAAGGGCCCAGAACCCCCCTCTCAGCTCGGCCCCCCGGCCGGCTCACCCCTGCCTCCCGCCAGTGCCTCCCCTGCGGCCCGGGGGACAAGGGCCACTGCTTCGGGCCCAGCATCTGCTGCGGGGACGAGCTGGGCTGCTTCGTGGGCACGGCCGAGGCGCTGCGCTGCCAGGAGGAGACCTACCTGCCGTCGCCCTGCCAGTCGGGCCAGAGGCCGTGCGGGGACGAGGGCCGCTGCGCCGCCAGCGGCATCTGCTGCAGCCCGGGTGAGCGGGCCGCCCGGCGCGGGCCGGCACCGAGCGGGAGCCGCGGGGACCGGGCGCGGACCTGCCTGACCCCTCTCTCCTCACAGACGGCTGCCGCACCGACCCCGCCTGCGACCCCGAGGCCGCCTTCTCCCAGCGCTGAGCAGACGGGCCCTGGACACCGCGGGGCGCGGCCCTCGCTCCCTCCGCAGCCACCCCCGAAGTAATGAAAATAAAATAAAGCAGATTTCCCCCTCCAACTGGACTGGCGTCTCTGTCAGCCCCGGGAGGGAGGGCGCTGGGGGCGGTGAGCAGGCCGGGCCTGTGTCTGCAGCGCTGGGCAACTCAGAGCAGGGCCAGGGGCCAGCAAGGGGACAGGCGCTGGGCCTGCTGCCCAGGACGGGGGGCGTGCTGCTCCCGGTGGGGTTGGGGGTGCGTGGAGGAAAACCGGGCAGAATGAGCTGCAAACAGCCCCAGCTTTCTCCTCCCAACAGCGCTGGGGGCCTGCAGTAGGCAGGACTCAGAGGACCACCTAAGGCCCAACTGGGTCAGCAGAGTAAAGGGCCTGACAGGCAACCAGGGATACTGAGTAACTTCTGACATCTGGAGGAAGCCTGAGCCACACCTGAGGGCTAGGGGCAGGATACCCCCACCCCCCACAGCTGAGGGGCCTTCCTGTTCCCGAGGGGCTGGAGTCTCAGGCCGCGGGAGGCCCCTGGGACTCAGAAGGTGTGGCCAAGCTGGGGATCCTGCAAAACAGGGCTTTCTGAGAACCCACAGCCACAGAAATGACCCTAAAAGGCAAAAAACGCCAACCAAAAGAGACAATCCCTCACCCACTTCTCATCTGTTACTGGGAATCAGTAAACCATCCTTCTCCCCCAGAACACACCTCGTGCACTTATCCACAGTGGGCCAGCTATCCCAGAAGTCCCGTCCCCAAACAAAACGAGCACAGTGAAATGTTAGTGATTTAAAAAGTTATTTCTGCCTTGGCCGGTTTGGCTCAGCAGTTAGAGCGTTGAAGGCGGACCAGAAAGTCCCAGGTTGGGTTCCTGCTAAGGGCACGTACCTCGGTTGCAGTTTGTCCCCGGCCTTGGTTGGGTCCTGCAGGTGGCAACCACTCGATGTGTCCCTTTCATGTCGATGTTTCTCTCTCTCTCTCTCTCTCTGTTCCTCTTTCCCTCCCACTCTATCTAAACAAAAAATGAAAAAATGTCCTCAGTGAGGATAAAAAAAAAAAAAAGGTTCATGAGGTCCATTGTGTTTCTACAATAGAGGAAACAAACCCTAAAAATTAAAGGTTAGATATTAACATAGAGTTAGTCTTTGCTTGCCAAGCATTGTCTGTGCATGTAATTAAAGGTTAGGTATAAACATAGAGTTGTGGGAGACTTTGCATGGCGTCAATTTTGTTAAAATCTGCTCTGCCATCGTATCCCCAAGGCAGGATATCTCTGCATTCTGCATTTCTTTATCTCTGCATTTTGCATTTCTTTAAGTAAACATTTACTCATCAAGCCAGTCTTTACTGACCTTTTGTTCCTTTTGTAGTATTTCCTGGAATTGCTTCGGGCAAGCTTGGTGCTTGGCAAAAGGTGCTTCTTGCCCTATATAGTATTGTGTGAATTACCCCTGAATAAACGAGACTTGATCAGAGCCCTGTCTTGTCTCCATTTCTCGTGTCTCTTGTCCCTCCTCATCCTCACTCCCCCTCTAGAGTCCTCGTTGCTCGACCTGCGGGACGGGTCATAGAGTTAGCTGTTGCTTGCCATGCATTGTTTGTGCTCATGTAGTTACTCTTCAGATGTAATTGTTACTCTTCAGATGTAATTGTTAAACATTGTAATAAAAGCCATGATGATCATGAAATCATTGCTACATGCCAGAGAGAGCTGTAGCCCTCTGATCATCTTGAATACATCCTGCCTGCTGATGCTTTCTTCGGGTCTCCTATCATTTGGAATGCAACATGACCCCAACCGGGGCTGGGGACGAACCGCAACCGAGGTACGTGCCCTTGGCTGGAATCAAACCCAGTACTCTGAATCAAACCCAGTACTCTGGTCCACAGGCCGACACTCTAACCACTGAGCCAAACCGGCCAGGGTGTTTGGTTTTTTTAAATCCTCACCCGAGGATATTTTTAAATTGATTTTTAGACAGAGTGGAAGTGGGGCGGGGTGAGTACTCTGGTCCACAGGCCGACACTCTAACCACTGAGCCAAACCGGCCAGGGTGTTTGGTTTTTTTAAATCCTCACCCGAGGATATTTTTAAATTGATTTTTAGACAGAGTGGAAGTGGGGCGGGGTGAGGCAAGGTGGGGAGAAAAACACTGATGTTATAGAAACACATCTACTGGTTGCCTCCCAAAAAGCCCAAATGATGCTAGAGATAGAACCTACAACCCAGGTACATGCCCTTGACCAGGAATCGAAGCCACAACCCTTTGGTCCTAGAGCCAACACTCTAACCACTGAGCAAAACCGGTCAGACTGGGGTTCTTGCTGAGGCTGTGAGAGCTGGTCTCTCCGATAACCCCTGCATCTGGAGGGTGATCGAGGAAGTTATCAGGAAAGGAACAGTAGATGACTCAAAGCGGAGTCCTGTTCAAATCAACTATTAAGGAGTATGTGATACACGCAAATGGGTATCTGAGGAAAGTCATACAAGTTCTGTGGTACCTCAGAAACTACACAGGAAACCAGGATCCTCAACTAGAGACATATGTGGTTATGGATCTGTGCTTTGGCAAGCTTGCGTGTCCACCCACCGCATGAGCCCTGACCTCACTCTGCCCGGAGTGCCCGCACCCCCTCCACACTTGAGTGGTTTCTGCAGAACAGAGGGGTGTCAGGCCAGCTTTCCTCACATTGGGACTGAGTTCAGGGTCCCCTTACCCCTCCAGACACACCATATACCCACTGTCCTATTCTTTCCCTAAATCCAAAGGCCAGCAGTGTTGTTTTTTCTAGCATCAAAAACACACTGTCCAATTGATACCACTTATTCTGGGGACATCCCAGAGGTGGCATCAAGTTAGGTCAGGGTGAGCTGGAGAGTTGCTGAAGAAACAGGCCGAGTGAGGCTGTTCTGCAGCCAGCCAACCGGCAGACGAGCTGTCAATCTTCCTCTTCCTGGCTCAGTCCGTTGCCTCTGGTCCTCCTCAGAGTGACCCCTTCAAACCCCAAAGTGCTCGGGGCTGGTCCAGGTTCCCAACACTCCCTTTGTTTGACTAGTACTCTGTGAGCCCACTTTACTACCCAGAAATGAAATTCCCAGATAATATGCCTACCTGCACATAATTTTAAAAATATGTAATTATCCCAGCCAATAATACTGTATAGAGAAAAGGAAAGTAACAAAATAATATTATTTTTATATGTAACTGGACAGGCAAGGTGACTTTAAGGGACATATACCCAGTAAAGTCAGCTGATTATACCTGCTTGTAATGAATAGTAAAAAGATTGGGCCCTGGCTGGTTTGGCTCAGCGGTTGAAGCATTGGCCTGCGGACCAGAGAGTCCCAGGTTCGGTTCCCGCTAGGGGCACATACCAAAAAAAAAAGGATTGGAAGCCATTCTCTACAAGAAGGTCAGGAACATAAAAATGTAGAAGGGTCACGAGGATTAATATCCTCTTTTGTGCCTTAGGGGAAAAGGGACTCAGATAACAATGAATTGCAAAGCTATATTCTGAGACACTTGGGGAAATTTGAGTAGTACCTGAATATTGAAGGATACAGGCATACCTCGTTACATTGTTTCACTTTATTATACTTCACAGATGTGTGTTTTACAAATTGAAGGCAAACCCTCCACTATCAAAGATGTTACACCTTGCTTTTTAATGTGTGTGTGTATGTTTTGACTTCAAAGAGAGGAAGGGAGAGGGAGAGAGAAATAGAAACATGGAGAGAAACATCAATAGCTGCTTCCTGCATGCCCCCTACTGGGGATGACCCTGACCTGAAATCCAACCAGAATCTCCCAGTGTTTGGGAAGACACTCAACCAACTGAGCCGTACTAGCCAGACACAACTCACTTTATTACCATGCTCACTTTATTGCGGTGGTCTGGGACCGAACCTGCAATATCTCTGAGGTATGCCTGTATTAATATGTGGTTGAGATTTGGTTTGGGGTATGCATGTATGTGGTAACAATCTATGGTCATGTTTATAAGAACAGTCCATATCTTTTGAGATGCACCCTGGAATGTTTATAGATGAAATTGTATGACAGCTGGGATTGACTTCAAGATCATTTGAGGGTAGAGAGAGTCAAGGTAGAGAGGAAACAAGCCACCACATGATGACAGTTGTCACAGCTGATGGGGAAGAGTGCCTGAAGGGTTTTGGTCTATTGACTCTACTTTTTGGTATATTTGAAATTTCTCATAATCAAAGCTATAAGACAAAAACATGATGATAGCCCTGGCCAGTTTGGTTTAGCAGTTAGAGCGTCGGCCCGCGGACTAGAGAGTCCCAGGTTCAGTTCCCGCTAAGGGCACTTAACCTTGGTTGCAGCTTGTCCCCGGCCCCAGTTGGGGTAGTGTGGGTGGCAGCCAGTCGATGTGTCTCTCTCACATCGATGTTTCTCTCTCTTTCATCCTCCCTCTCTCCTTCCTGCTCTATCTAAAGATAAATGCAAAAATGTCCTCAGGTGAAGATAAAAAAAATAAAAATAAAAAGATGGTGATAGAAGTAAATGTTCTGATGTGAAAAGATGCCCTAAATTTACTTTGTTAAAAATAGTGCAAATTGGCCCTGGTTGGTTTGACTCAGCGGTTAGAGCATCGGCCTGCGGTCCTGAGAGACCCGGGTTCGGTTCCCGCTAAGGGCGCGTACCTAGGTTGCAGTTTGTCCCCGGCCCTGGTCGGTTGTGCGGGTGGCAGCCACTCGATGTGTTCCTTTCACATCGATGTTTCTCTCTCTCTCTCTCTGTTCCTCTCTCTCCCTCCCACTCTACCTGAACAAAAAATGGAAAAATGTCCTCGGGTGAGGATAAAAAAAAAAAAAAAGTGCAAATTAATGCTATGGATTATGACATAATACTAATTTGTAAAGTGGAAGTGCCTGTGTGTGCACTCAGGAGGACTGTGGGCAATCAAGGCGAGCTCCGCACAGCTGTGTGAAGCCTAGGCGCACGCATTCCAGTCTGAGAACTAGAAGCATCGACTACATCACTGAGCATTCATTGTTGTGATTTATTTTTATGTCACACTATCAACACCGGGGACCCTGTAGGATAGGGGTTCTTAAAGAACAGGATCACAGAAATGACCCCAAAAAACAAGGAGAGAGACTCCTCGGCCTATGCTAATTAAGGATAGAAGCCCTCATGACCCCTACACCCGCCTCCTGCGCCTGGTCAGGGATGACAGAAAAGCAGAGCTCTAAGGCCACAAGAGAGCTTGACCTTGGCTTGGCATCTGGACCTTCCCCCCACCCAGGGCTGGCTGAGGCTGTCATGAGGCTGAGCTCCAAGGCTGGCAATTGGGGTCAAGGCTCAGAGTGACGTTCCTCAGCCTGTGCTCCATTCTGGTCTCCAAGTCAGCGGAGGATTCAGGAGGAGATGGAGCCTCTTGTGTCCCAAGACCTGGAGCAAGACATCCCAAGGAGAGGCCGCAGGGAACAGAGCTGGTAGAGAAAGGAAGATGGGAGGTGACAGAGGTAGAGGGGATAGAAGAGAAAGGGAGGGGTGTAGGGGGACAAGTAGAGAAGCAAGAAAGGGCCCAGGATCTGAGGGTTATGGGAGTGAGGGGAAAGGGTATGAAGGGGTAGAGGGGACAGAGGGGACAAAGAGACAGCACTGACCTGGTAGTGGCCCTCTTTGCCCTGAAGCTGCATGTGTCAAAGGGTGGAAAGTCCTTGTGTCCGGAGCTAATGCGAGTGTGTGTGTGTGTGTGTGTGTGTACATGTAGCTGTCTATCCTCGAGTCTGTTGTGTCTGTTTCTGAGTGTGTCTGTAGTTCTGAATGTGTATCTCAGGGTCTATATCTGTGATTGTCAGAAATCACTGGCATGCCCCTAACAATTCTTTTTTTTTCTGTCTGAGCGTGTATGTGGTTTGCATGGCTGAACCTGGTGGAGGCATGTAGCCAGGGTCTCAGTGAGGTCTGTCTCTCAGGCTGGCTAAAAGCCAAATGTAGGTGCTTTGTTTCCTTCTGGACAGATAGCACATGGCACTCTCCACTGGGTCTGGCGATGTAGGTCCCACACCCCCTCCCCTTAAACACACCAGCACACACACACACACACACACACACACACACACCACAGTCTTTTTTTTTTTTTTTTTTTTTTTTTTAGAGTGGGAGGGAGAGAGAGGAAGGGAGAGAGAGAAACATCGACGTGAAGGGACACATCGAGTGGCTGCCACCCGCACGACCAACCAGGGCCGGGGACAAACTGCAACCGAAGTACGTGCCCTTAGCGGGAACCGAACCCGGGTCTCTCCGGACCGCAGGCCGACGCTCTAACCGCTGAGCCAAACCGGCCAGGGCCACACCACAGTCTTTAATGAAAAAGACATTAGACAGAATCTGGGGACCTGCATGGGTCCCTGAAGCTGCTTGTCCCTCAGCCTCCTGTGATGTAAATGGGAACAGGAACCCCTGCTCACTTCTTAGCGTGTTCCTTCTGCCTTTGTTGGTCACTCTCAGTATCTCTGTCTCCCTCTCTCTCTTGCTATGTTGTCCGCTGATGGCTCTCTCTCCTCCATCCCCCTGCCCTTCTTTATTTATTTCCAACCCTTTGCCCCAGGATCCCCAACCCAGCCCCTGAAGGATCACTCTGGGCCTCGGCCCTCCCCTCCCCCACCCCCAGGTAACCTGTCCCTAGTTCTAGCTAAACTCTGCTGGGCCAGGATCGCTTACTGGACCGTCTCTTCTCTTGGGTGGATCTGTGACTTAGGGTCCGGGAAGCGTCCGCGCCCCACCCTCTCCCGGCCTCTCCCATCCCCATCCCCAGAGAGAGCCAGAGACAGACACCATCCAATGCATTTTAAAAGGTTTATTTTTGTGCTTCGAGGGCAGGGCGGGGAGGGCCGGGCCGGGGCTCAGTAGACGCCGACCGGGGCGGGCTCGGGTGCCTCCGCCAGCTGCACCAGCCGCAGCAGCAAGGCCCCGGTCGGCCCGTCCAGCTGGGTCGCGTTGCTCCGGTCGCCGGCGCGGACGCGGCGGTGGAGGCCGGCACCCTCCCGGCACTCGGGCCCGGTCACGCAGCTCTCTGCGGGGAGTAGGGCTGAGTGTGCGGGCGGCGCCCCGGACCAGACCCAGATCGGCCCCCAGGCCACCCCAGCCCCGTCCACCTCCCCCCGCCCCGCCCCGCCCTGCGCGCACCTTCGTTGCAGCAGATGCCGTTGGCGGCGCAGCGGCCCCGGCTCCCGCACGGCTTCTGGCCCGACTGGCAGGGCGACGGCAGGTAGGTCTCCTCCTGGCAGCGCTGAGCCTCGGCCGTGCCCACGAAGCAGCCCAGCTCGTCCCCGCAGCAGATGCTGGGCCCGAAGCAGCGCCCTTTGTCCCCCGGGCCGCAGGGGAGGCACTGGCGGGACAGCAGGGGTGAGCAAAGCGGCTGAACCGGGCTGGAGGGTCAGGGCCCCTCTGGGTGGGGAGGGTGGGCAGGGACCCAAAGTTCGGGGTCGTCCTGGCGCTGCTTTGGCTCCAAAAAGGGTCAAAGGATTGGAACCAACTTCTGCTAACCTCCCTTGATTTACAGGTGACTCAGACTATCTCTGTGACATCACTCGGCATCCTCCCCCAGACACCCCACCCCCACAGAGGGTCTGCCATGGGCTACAGTATGGGGGAGACCTTCTTCTTCAGCTCTGGGGCCTCAGTGGTATTGCACCCCTTTCTCAGCTGCCCGCCGCTTTCTCCACGATGCAGAAGGCTCTCTGCAGCCCCCATTCCTCAAGCTCGATCTCTAGCACCATCCCTGCAGTGAGGGACCTTGTCCCCACTTAATACATCCAGGCCCTTCCTTCCATTTCCTGTCCCCTCTCTGGCCTTACTCTGCCCCCCAACCCCTTCACTATGCCTGCACCCTACTTCCCAAGCTATAGGCCTCCGCTCACCTGTCTATGCACTAACCAGGTGGGTGGCAGGGGCCTGAGCCCTAGAGGAGGGAGCGAGGCCCCTAGGTGATTCAGGCCTCCAAGGGCATCAAGCAGAGGGAAGGTAGTCTGTAGTCTGCCCAGCTACCCACTCTAGTTTGTTCAACAGCTCAAAATTGAGCTTCCTGTGGCCTGGGAAGAAGTGAGATTGAGCATGGTGATTGGATTTCCTTCAGGGCTCATGAAAATGGAATAAAATGGAATTGATTGGACATGCAGCAAGAGAGAAGTGGGCTAGGTACCTAGCAGAACTTCCTTACAGGATGCTTGGATGGCATCTTCCACTCCAGCAAGCTCAGACAATGGCCAGTGTCTTTGTGAAGGCCAGGGCCTGTGGCTGGGAGGGGATGGGAGCTGAATGGGGAAGGCCTCAATGCTGAATAGGACAGAGCCTCCAGCCACTGCTGGCTGAGAGGCACCCATGGGCACACAGGAGGCCTTATTGCCCAGTTCTCTCTGATCCAGCCCCAAGCGCTGTTACTGCAGAAACCTCTCTTTCCTGCATCCCTGTCTGGTTAGGGACAGCATTCAGGAAGCCTTGCAGCTTGTCCTAACCTGCCCAGAAGCCTGGTCCCCTCTGCCTATCCACTCCAAGCCTCACTTCTGCTGGGCACTCCCCTAAAGCCAGCCTGTCCCATAACTTCCTTCTTTCCCAGCCCCTGCACTGTGGTGCCAGCCTGGGGCCTTTGCCCCCTCCTGGCAGCACTGAGATGGGCCATAGCCATACCTGTCTCAGCTCCAGGTCGAGCGTGGCCCTCTTGCCACCCCTCGGGCAGTTCTGGAAGTAGCAGGCAGAGGTGAAGGCCAGCAGGCTGAGGAAGCAGGCGGGCAGCATGGCGTCGGGCATCCTGGCACAGGTGGGCACAGCGTGTGGTGCTGCTCTGCAGGCTGTGCTGTGCTGCCTTCGCTGGCTGGCTATTTATGGCCGCAGGTATTTTCTCTGAGGTGACGTGGCTACCATCACCCGTCCCCAGTGGCTCCCCAGGAGCCCACAGCCACCAGGTCCCAAGCCGTCAGCAGTGATTCAGGCGCCTGGGGACGCATGTGGGCCTGTCTCTGCAGGGGGTGATGGGGGAGGAGAGCTGGCCTCATGACTGTCACTGACAGTGGTGTGGCCACGGTGTGGCAGGAGCCGCTGTGACTGAGATTGCAGCTCTCAGGACTTGAGAGAGGAACAAATGAGGGTCACTTGGGGGCTGTCTCTAAGCTTTCTAGGGGGTCTGTGGGCCCTATCCCTCCATCAGCCTCCTGAGAAAGTGGTGAGAGGAACCCAAGGGGCTGGTATGTAAGCAACAGGGTTCTGATGAGCCCAAGAGTGTTGGTAAAAGTGAGGAGATAGAGGCAGGTTGGGCAGTGAGGGATGGGACCATGGGCAGGGAAGACTGAGACATGCGGGAAATTTGAGATGACTCGGAGCTCAGCGCACAGGCAGGTGGGCAGCCCAGTATGTAGTGTATCTGGAGGTTTATTTGCACTCTACAGATCTCAAAATAAAACTAAAATCAGCGTGGCAAATTCTGCCCCCAAGGCCAGAAACTCCCAGCCCCCAGTCCCCACTAACACTCCTGACTTACAGAAATGAAAGTTTATCTTGAATGCAAATTAGAGGCTCCTGGAAGGCATACATGTCCATTATACAACAAAACAAAACAGCCCTGGCCGGTTTGGCTCAGCGGTTGGAGCGGCGGCTTGCGGTACAGAGAGACCCGGGTTTGGTTTCCGCTAAGGGCATGTACCTCGGTTGCAGTTTGTCCCCGGCCCTGCTTGGTTGTGCGGGTGGCAGCCACTCGATGTGTCCCTTCACGTCGATGTTTCTCTCTCTCTCTTCCTCTCTCTCCCTCCCAGTCTATCTGAACAAAAAATGGAAAAATGTCCTCGGGTGAGGATAAAAAAAAAAACAAAACAAACCAGAAAGGCTGGTTTCAGGCAAGGGGGGAATAGCGATTATATGATTGATTGCATAGTTCCTTTTTCTAGATTTGCAAAGGAATTTGATTTATTGTTAAAGAATATAATGCTGGTGATTCTGACTTATTCCAATGAATATACTACTGGTTTTTGGGAGCAAGGCAACAGGATTGCTGAATGATTGGTTTTGGGGGAGACACTAAAACTAACATAAGGTGGCTCCAAGGGCGGTTCCCCTCCTCCTCACTAATGGCCTGGAAGAAGTTGAAATTATCATATAAAGGGAAGCCACTAAGTCCCTATAGATGACCCAGGGCTAAACCCAGTCAGGTGGAAAACATAATTTTAAAATGTATGAATGTTGCTAAGGCAGAATTCTTTGAAAAGACCAATCAGAGGCTAGCAATGTACTTATCTACTCCTGGACAACAGAGCCCCACAGACAACCCACTTGGGTCCCCTCCCTGCTGCAGGGAGTCTGTCTGTTTTTTAAATAAACTTTCTTTGGTTTACCCTTGGTCCGAAAACTCATTCTTGGATTTTGCGAGACAACAAACCTGATAACCACTACTTGGTTTCAAGAGGGCTACGACGTGCAGGACCCCATCGGGATGGTCGACCCTGTGAGAGGACCAGTGACCGGGACCAGCACACACTCCGGGTGGTGTGAAGGGAGGCTGCTGTACTGACTGCACCAAGAAGGGGAATTGCCGCCTGCGGCCCTGTGGGCCAGGCAGCCCCGGCCACGGAGGTGAGGGACAGGTCGGGGCCGTTCTCATAGGGTGGGTGAGGCAGGCTCCTGGGGACTCTGAAGACCCATCACATGCGCACACCCAGAGCAGGATCCAGGGACTTAGAGACTGGGGGCCTTGGAGGCAACTTCTTGGCATGTCCCCCTCTCTTCCCTCCCAAGCAGGGGACCCAGTGAGGTCAAAGGTATGGGGAGAGCCCCATAGAACCTAACAGTCAGCCTGCCCCAGTTCCTACCCCAACCAGGACCCTAGTTCATGGAGAACAGGGCAGGTACCATTTCAGGACTGGGTTAGGGGTGGGGGCATAGAAGCTTGGGGGTGAAGGAAGGGAGTAGTCATAGCCAAAGAGACTCAACCTGAGGAAGGAGCCTTTGGTTCATGACCCCAGGCTGGTGGGCTAAAAAAGCTGCAGCCTTGCCCTGGCCGGTTTGGCTCAGTGGTTAGAGCATCGGCCTATGTTCCAGAGAGACCTGGGTTCGGTTCCTGCGAAGGGCACGTACCTCGGTTGCAGTTTGTCCCCGGCCCTGGTTGGGTCGTGTGGGTGGCAACCACTCGATGTGTCCCTTTCAGGTCGATGTTTCTCTCTCTCTCTGTCTCCCTCCCACTCTATCTGAACAAAATATCGAAAAATGTCCTCGGGGGAGAATTAAAAAAAAAAGCCGCAGCCTCCTTTCCCACCAGGGCTGCCAGAGTACCCCTGTGGCCTCGGCTCCTCCAGCCCCCAGGCTCTTGGCCTCCTCTCCAGGGTCCTGCTAGTAAGCTCCAGGGAACAGGGCTGCCTCCTCTGCACCAAGCGCCATTCCCATGTCCCAGGGAGGGGGCCTTGCACACTCAGAACCCAGGTCAGTCTTTTCCAGAACATCCCCTAAGGGTTCTGAGGATGCTGGAGACCAACAGCCTGATTCATTCTGGTCGCTGTTGCATTTTCTTTATTGATTTGAGAGAGAGGGGAAGGGAGAGGGAGAGAGAGATAGAAACATCGATGAGAGAGAACATCGACTGGCCGCCTCCTGCATGCCCCCACTGAGGATCGAGCTCACAACCTGGGCATGTGTCCTGACCGGGAATCAAACCAGCGACCTCTCGGTGCATGGGTCAATGCTCAACCACTGAGCCACACCAGCTGGGCATGGCCAGTGTAATGTTAATTATTAGTATCGTTGTATTATTAATGCCATTATTCTTACAAGCAGCTGAAGAAATTTTCCAGAGAGCGTATCTTCCTAAGTCAACCCAGGAGGAACGTGCTCATTCCATTCATGACCAGAAAGAAGCTTGGCCTGAACCGTCACCTTGCAGAGACTCTGTGGGTTGGAAGACAGGCCAAAGGAGGAGGCCAGAAGTCTGGCTGAGGCCAACTGTGTCACTTCTGCCCAGCACCTTACCCTCGCTTCACTTCAGGCTCGAGTAACCACTGAAAAATAGACAGCGCCTGGCCAGTGTGACTCAGTGGTTAGAGAGTCAGCCCATGAACCGAAGGGTCACGAGTTCAATCCCTGATCAAGGGCATGAGCCTGGGTTACAAGTTGAGCCTGGTCAGGGTGCATTTGTGAGGCAATGGATCAATGTGTCTCTCTCACATCGATGTTTCTTTCTCTCTTTCTCTCTCTCCCCACTTCCCTCCCTCCTCCTCTCTCTAAAAATCAATGGAAAAAAATATCCTCCAGTGAGGATTAACATCAACAACAACAAAAATCTTAAAAATGGATGGCACTACACTAACTGAAGGCTCAGGCCCTCGGACAGACCAGGACACCTGATTCCTGACCAGCCATGTCTACCAGCATCATGATTCTAAGACACCGCCCACACCAGAGCCCCCTGAAGACCCTAAACGCCACCTCTGCACAGATGCCAGAGGGCCTGCTTCTCCCAGTACCATCTTCTTGGAACTCACATGGGCTGGGAAAAGTCTCATTACTGTGCTGACTGGCTGCACTGTAAATATGTCACCCCACACGTCACAAGGACCCTGTGGATACCCCGTCCCCTCCTACAATCCCCTTAGATGTTCCCTTCCCAGAACTCTTCACACCTCCGTCCCAGAGTCTCCCACACCCCACTCAGCTCAGGTCCTTGATTCACATCATTTTGAGGAGGATTTGGTTCTTTCCAGTCTTTCCTTCCCCTTCCACACACCCCCTCCCCACCTCACCATTTTCTTGATATAAAATGTCAGAGTAGTTAGATCAGCGTTATGAATTGGAGCAAATACACCCTCCAAGCTAAGCCACATGGCATAGTATGATGACCTATCCATCACTGAACAACTTTGTGTGTTCCCTGGAGTTCAGGATTGCCTTGGTTTCCCATTGCAGTCCATTGGCCACTTTTAGAAGTCAACTTTTACTTCTTACTCCCTTCACGCAGGCTTCTGCCCAAACAAATCCACTGACACTCCTGTGATCAAGGACAGGCATTACCTCTGTATCGCCAAATTCGGCAGCCATGTCTTCGTTCTCATTTCACACAAACACCTAGCAGCCTTCCACACGGTTGAGCACTTGTCTTTGAAAAAGAGGCTCCATTTGGCTCCATCCACACCGCACTCACTTGGTTGTTCCTCCACCACACTGGATGATCTGCGTCTCTTCCTCTTTGACCTTGACTTCTAAATGTCGGAGCATCCCAGGATCCTGGGTCCCTTTTCTTCTCTTCCTATACGATTGCTTCTAACCCCATGAGTTTATACACTTTCTACAAATTAATGATTTCCAAATTTTATCTCCATCCTGGGCCTCTTCCCCAAGTGCCAAATTTATAGTTACAACTGCCCAGCGACACCCCCCCTTGGATATTCAAATCAATAGAGGCCTCTTCAACTTAACGTGGTCAGACTCAACTCCTGATTCCCAGCTTCTCCCTGCTCGCTCCCAGGATCCCCAACTCTGCAATCACACCACCACCAGCCAGCTCCTCCCCCCAGAAGCTGAGACTCCCTCGGGCCTTCTCTTTCCCTCATTTTTAACAGTGCTACCTCTAAAATAGATCTCAAATCTACCTGCTTCTTTCCGCCCCTGCTTTGAACCTCCGAATCTGCCGTTCCCTTGTCCTAGAAGGCTCACCTCCCGCACCCCTCCCTAAGATTCACCCGGCTGCCTAAATGTCCTCTCCTAAGAAGAGTCTTCCCTGACCACCCACCTGGAGCATGCATCCCCTACCTCCACCTCAATTCTTTTCAAACTTGGGTGTATG